CCGCCCCACCCCGGCCTCCCAAGCCGCAAGGTGCCCTGCGGAAGGCATCAGGCCTCAGTCTGTGCGGGAGCTGTTACTAAAGTGCCTACTGAGTGCAGAGGCCTGGGCCTGCTTTCACCGTGTTTCTCGCCTAATGATACCTGAGGTGGGGGGAGGCAAGCCACCCCTCTCTGAGCCTCGGTTTCCATCCTGTAAAATGGGGACGCTAATTCCTCCAACTGTTCATAGAGACCCTACTAAGTGTCAGACCCTCACTGGCTCTTGTGAAGAGGAACCAGGTTAACAAGGGAAAGCGCTGCCATGGGCCCTGGTCGGGCACTCAGTGGTTAGAGCATCATCCCCATCCCCATCCCCATAGGCCAAGGCTGCAGGTTCGATCCCAATCCCGGCACATACAAGACTCAACCAGTGAATGCATAAATAAGCGGGACAACAAATCGATGTTTCTCTCCCTCTCTCTCTCTCTCTCAAAACTTTATTTTTTAAAGTGCTATCATGGAAGTGTAAGCCTTCAAGTCCTGGGTCTGTGTGGGTCTGGAGGTCTGTGGCGTGACCCTTTCAGCTCCCCACAAGGCCAAGGCCGCACGCGGACGCCCTGGAAAGGCCCAGCTGGTGGAGCGCAGGGGTCCTGCTGCCCAGACCGGGCGCTTCAGACGGGATGGAACAGGAGGAGGCCCGCTCAGGGGGAGCACCGGAAAACAGTGACGCAGCTCCGCCTGAACTAGCGGCTCCTTCCAGCACCAGGACCCATGCCCCCCTCCGAGCGCACCTTAAAGATGACATTTTACATCTAAGCACTAAAAGTGGATCTGCAGGGGTGAACTTCGAACAGTAATACAAGCGAGCACCTTGCCAACAGAGCCAGCGCGGCCATCCCAGAGGAGCGGCCCGCGTATCAGACCTCACACCTGGAATGTGGAAACGAAACTGGGCAAAGTAACCTTCGGACGGGGCCCACGCAACCTCGCTTCCCGAAGAATCTGCAAAGTCATAACGGGGCGGCCGTTAGGACTAAGCACCGGGCCGGTGACTCCTGGGCGGAAATGAAACAGTGGTTAGAACTCGAGGCGCTGAGCTATGTCGTCTGCACCAGCAGAAGCGCCTCCCCCTGCGGATGCCACAGCTCCCCTTCCCTGCCACGTACATGCCCACCAATGTGATGAAATGAGCCTAACATCACCGATAAAGGGACGGACGACGGGCTGAGCTCATGGGCCTCCGGGGTCATGGCTCTGAGAAGCGCTGCTCCTGTCCCAGAAGTGAAATCCGAATCGAATCAACGCGAAACAGACTTCCTGCCAGCCAGCTCCTGGATGCGTGGACAATGTCAGAGTCATGACCGACAAAGGCAACCACAAGGGAAAACACTGGGGACTGAAGGAGACTGGGAGACAGAACCAGCTGCCCCCCTTGGCCCTCGACTAGTCCTCAAGTAAAAACCAATCACCTGTCACAAACACTATTGTAGCCAGGGTGGCAGTGAGAGAAATCCGTGTTGGGGAATGTGTATTGGGTGACAGTATTGATTCCATGTTACATTTCCCAGGCGTGACCACGGTGTTGTGGTTGCGAAAGAGGCACACGCCGGAGTCTGATGGGTGAAGTGTCACGGTATCCGAAACGCACACGCACACACTTGTATATGGAGTGAGGGAGAGAGAGCAAGCGATAAAGCGAACGAAGCATAATGTTAGCAGCTGGTGAATATGGCATTCATTGTGCTGTTCTGCAAGTGTTTCTATAGCTTTGAAATTTTTTTAGTAAAAATGTTGGCCCGGTGCTGGGGTCCAACCCCAGCAGGTCCAGGGGTTCCCCAAAGGTGTGGACGGAGTCGGCGAAGAAGGAATGACACGGAGACAGCGTTCAGTTGATCAGCAGCCTGGCCAGGATCTGAGCGAAGTTCTGGTCTTTATTGTCTTGTTACGTCTGTATTTATACCAGTTGATTCCAATCCTATCAATCTCTATTGCAAAGGTGAGGGTGTTTCTTATCTCCATTCCAGGGAGTAAAGATTATGTAGCTTAAGCATGATTGTTTGTAGTTAAAGTGATTAACTACCCGCCTGGCACTTAGTTAAGGGGTTTTATTCCCTCCCTAACTTCAGGGGAAAATCCCTACCTGGGGAAACAACCTTTCTCGGAGAGGTGACCTTGGTTAAAACACATAGCACCAAGAAGGGGAGCAAACATATTAAGAACAGTATGCCATATACACCAGGTCCCTTGGAACATATGCTGTGCTGATGTTCCTTCCCTGCAGCGACTGTGTCAAGCAGCGAGGACGGACCGGCTCCCGGCAGCCCGGCTGGTATGGCTTGGTGGCTGACCGTTGACCTGAGAACCAGGAGGTTATGTTTCCAGTCCAGGTCCGGGCACAGGCCTGGGTTGCGGGCTCGATCCCCAGTGGGGGGCGTGCAGGAGGCGGCCGATCAAAGATTCTCTCATCGTTGATGTTTCTATCTCTTTCTCCCTCTCCCTCCTTCTCTGACATCAATAAAAACATTTAATTTTTTAAAATGTTGGGAGTAAGAGATTCTGAGCTCCACCAGAAACGCACGGTTCCTCTCTCTGGGCCTCAGTTTCCGCCTGTGAAATGGGGAGGGCTCTCAGCACTGACATGCCAGGAGCGGAGATCAGATCCTATCTCCAGGGAACAGAAAATGCCCCGAGATAAGAAACTCTTGAGCAAACCGTGGGGTGTTCCTCGAGCATGTTTATGGACTGACATTTCTTGTCCAGCGATAGTGTGTAAACCTGAGTTCATCAGAGGCCGCAGAGCTGGTCTGCCGGCTCAGCCCGAAGCCCTGTGAGCGGGAGCAGGCCCAGGAGCTGTCCGTTCTCCAAGACTCGGCAGGTCTATGAAAAAACAAGCAGAAGGCCTCTGCTCCCCTGCTTCACCCAAATATGGGGAGAGCATTGGCGGGGGGGTGCAGGAGGCAGCTGATCGATGTTTCTCTCTCATCGATGTTTCTAACTCTCCATCCCTCTCCCTTCCTCTCTGTAAAAAATCAATAACATATATTTAAAAAAATAAATAAATAAGATCTTGGATTTATAAGCAAGTGCCCACTGCACAGATGCTGACTGTTTGGGGAAAGCTCGGGAGAAAGGAATTTGGGGGCAGGGTCCTTTGGGACGGGGGTGTGGAAAGTGTTCCCCACTGTGGCCTGCCCACCTGCGTGGACATCTCAAAAAATGTTTGCAAAGAAAGTGTTTCCCCTCTTTGATCAAGTTGATTCCAGGGCCCTGAGCTGCGTGACTTCGGCCTGTTTGTCTGTCTCAGTCAGTCAGACCGGCTTCCTGAACCCTGGCCCAGAAGCCTGGGCGGGAGGGAGGCCGCGGGGCAGGAAGCTCTGGCATGTGAAAGGCTCTGCAAACCCCAGCCCCGCGCCGGCCTCCTGAGAATTTGAAACCTGGGGGTTTATGGGCTGGAAATTCTTGACCCAGAAATGTTTCACTGAGGGTCAGAGAGGCCTGAGCCAATTTCCACGAGTCTCCTCCTTAGAAGTCAGGGCAGTTGGGGTACCCCTCCCCCACCCCCCTTGCTCTCAGCGTTTGCCACAGCAGGGAGGTCCTGGAAGCCAAGTGTTTCTGCCCCTTGAGATTCAGTCACTTGAAAACAGAACAGGCCCAGGCTCCTGGCCCTGGGGGCTCATGCACCCCCTCCAGCTCTGAGGGGCGCTCGCAGCCCCCCTCACTCCCAGCTGCAGCCACCGGTCCCCGCACCCTCACACCGTCTCTCCCCCCAGGGCCTGGCTCTGCTCCTCCCTGGGGCAGCCCCTGCCCCTTTACAAAGCCTTAGCTTCTGTTATTAAAAATACATCTTCATTGACTTCAGAGAGGCAGGGAGAGGGAGAGAGAGAAGCATCAGGGATGAGAATCATTGATCGGCTGCCTCCTTCCTGCATGATCCGGGGTGGAGCCTGCAACCAGGGCACCTGCCCCAGGTGGGAATCGAACCGTGACCTCCTGGTTCATAGTTCTGTGCTCAACCATGGAGCTGCCTTGGCCGGGCCGGACATCAGCTTTAGACCTTCTGTTTCTCCTCTTGCCATCGAGGCTCTGCAGCCCAGAGAGGGGGAAGCGGCCGGGCCAAGCCGCGCAGCAGCTCAGAGCAGCGGTCAGACCCCGGCGAGCTTCCCCCTCTGGGTGGCGTCCACCAGGGACCTGCCTGTCCTGGGGCTTCTGTGAGTTTGTGGAGGGGGTGGAAGCTCCCCACCCGGTGACACCCGAGCGGTGACAGGAGGTAGGGGGACCCATTTACCAGGTGAACTTAACGAGTGTCCCCCGGTGCTGCCCGCTGTCCAGTCCCAGTGCTGGGCACAGACCCGCAGGGGCCTGGAGCAGCTCCTGGAGCCCCGTGTCAAGGCCAAAGGGCAGAGGGTCAGGGGTCTGCCCCCCCCCGCCTTGCCTTGGGGCAGGTGAGGCTTCCTGGTTGAATGGTGGCAAACTGGTCTGTCCATCTCTGGAATGAAGCCGGATTAGACATTAATGTCCCCGTATCTGTGTGATCTGGAGGCTGCCGGGCATGGGGCCACCCCAACCCGTGCAGCCACCAGCAGGCCCGCAGGGCGGCACAGGCCGCTG